TCGCTCGCGAAACTCACGTTCGCGAGTATCGTCGCAGGACGGAGGACAATGCTCTGTGTTTTGTGGGATCAGAAGGGTGTGATCTATTATGAGCTGCTAAAACCTGGCCAAACCGTTAATACTGAACGCTACCAACAACGAATGATCGATTTGAATCAAGCTTTGCGTGAAAAACGACCAGAATATAAAAAAAGGCAATACAAAGTGATTTTGCTTCATGATAATGTACCATCACACACAGCAAAACTGGTCAAGGAAACGATTGAGGCGTTTAGTTGGGAAATACTTTCGCATGCGGCTTCAGACTTGGCTCCGTCCGATTACTATATATTTGCATCGATGATACACGCACTTGCTAAGCAGCGCTTCACTTCTTACGAAAATGTACGAGAATGGCTCAATGACTAGTTTGACTCAAAAGAGCAACAGTTTTTTTGGTGTGGCATCCACAAATTGTCAGACAGGTGGGAAAAATGTATAGCTAGCGATGGGCAGTACTTCGAATAAGATATTTTTTATCATTTGTATACAATAAACGTGTATTTTCTATACAAAAATTCCGGTTTCATATTTACATACCTGGTAAAAGGAGACGCATAAACGATATCGAGAGAGATCCGCCACAGAGCTCCTCTGGGACGCTCAACCGACCTTTTTTTTTTTTTTTTTGAGGCAGAGGAAATGCATTACGCACACCCCCGGGAAAGACGGGACTTTCCCATAAGTAGTGTGGGACTCTCCCCCTCCGGAACTAACGGCCGAGGGGGGGGGACCTACCCACTAAAATCTCTGCCGGGCCCCTTGCGGCTATTGCGAGGGCGTCCCGGGAACCGCTTGCGCATTACTTCCGGGACGCCCTCAGCCGCAGGGCGAGGAAATACCTAAACCTCTTCCCGGGCCGGAAGGAATAATTTTCTCGCGGCCTGCTGTTCCAATCCTCCGTGACCGGACGTGGGCCCCCCCGTCCGGTCACACCTCACCTGTAGAGGCGCTATTGGCCGGGTCCGGTCCCGTTCGGACCCGACCCGCCCCTACGCTCCCGACCGAGGTGGCAGGGACGGAGGGGTGTAAGAGTTCCCCCTCCACCCCCCTCGGTCAGGAGCCTTCAGACTCTGGAAGAGGGGAGAGCGGCCTATAAGTCTGCCCTTACGAACCGGCAGCCCTACCCCCCTCCCGGAGGCGCCTGGTCTGACTTCTTGTCACAGGGGGAGTCGCGCCTTACGACGCGTCTCCCCCGCCCGACCAGGCGCCTTCTATCTCCCCCGGGCCGGGCCCTCCGTTGATCAGGAGGACCCGGCGGTATTGTGGGGGGCGACGGCGCAACCCGCAGGTACCCCGGGGGAGGGAATGCCAGCGGTGGCGTCCCCTCCCCGCCCACAGGTGAGCAGTCCCTCGATTCCGCGCTGATGCGTGAGAAGGTGAGGCGCCGCCCTTCTCCTCCGGTGGCGCCTCACTCCGTCCCGAGGGGCGGCTTCGCCCCTTCTGACGCGTCCCGCCTCCTCCTTCTGTGCCATTACTTCGTCACAGAAGGAGGTGACGGTGGACTAGCCCTCGTTTCTCCCAAGCATGGCCCTGATAAGGGCCGGGGGAGAGAGGTCCGCCCCCAACACATCTATTAGGACTCGGCGCTCCACAGCCCAAGAGGGGCATTCCTCCATGGTGTATTGGGCCGAGTCCACCTCAGCACCACAGTGGTGGCAGCGGGAGATAGGCTCCCTACCAATCCTGTGCAGGTACTTACCGAAGCATCCATGTCCGGTGAGTACCTGCGTCGTCCGAAAGGACAGCTCTCTGCGGGCCCTGTCTATCCATTCTTGCAGGCAGGGCCGGATGTCCTCGGCGACCCTCATTTCTGATTTGCCCGTCGCCCCCTCCAGGTAGATGCTCCATTTAAAGAAGAAGCGTTGACGGGCCTGCGCTTTCGCCATTTCAATGGCCCTGGCCAGATGTTCAAGGTCCTACCCGGCACGGAGCTCCCTTACAAGCTGATAGGTCTCGGCGTGCATCTGTGCAAGGAGCCCCAGCGGGGGGAGATTGGCCAGGGCCGTGGCGGCCATATGCGACGTCGTCCTATAGGCCCGGGCGAGGCGAATGGCGACCCACCGCTGCGAGCGGTGTGCCAGCGCAGTGATACGCTGGTTGGTCGTCATCGCACTTGCCCAGGGCCCCGTACAGGGCTATGAACTGGACGACGCTAGCATACAGCCGCCGTGCCTTCCTTTTTGGGCCGCCGAGGTTGGGCAGAAGGCCACCCAACATATTGGGCACCCTGCCCAACTTGAGGGTCAGAAGCTCGAAATGCTTCTGAAATCCCCATCCAAGACGTGTCCCAGATATTTTATCGTGGGACCCGTCTTCACGGAGACACCGTCAATCCGGACTCGGGCCCTCGGTGGTCCCCTCCCAGAGCCATCATGTATAAACATGAGCTCGGACTTGAGGGGAGCCACCTTGAGGCCCATTCTGTTCAGAGAACCTATCACCTGGTCCACCGCCAGAAGTCCCATTTCCAGGGAGTCCTGCCAGCCCCTGCCCCCAGCCAGCACCATCGTGTCGTCTGCGTAGCAGACGACGCTGCAGCCAGGGGGGAGGGCAAGGCGGAGGACTTGGTCGTACGCGATGTTCCATAGTAGGGGTCTTAATACGGATCCCTGAGGAACACCGCGGTAGACCGCTCTTCCGCACTAGAGTTTCGCTTTGTTTCGGAACTCCAGTCTTCTATTTCGGAAGTAATCTTTAATAATCGAGACCAAGTGGGGGGGGGGGCAAAATGGGCCAAGCCCGCCTCCACCTGGTCCCAAGGGAGGGAGTTGAAAGCGTTGGCGATGTCCAAGGACACCGTCAACACAACTTCCCCCCCTCACGACGGCCTCCGAAAGGGACCGGACGCTTAAAATCGCGTCCACGCTCGACCGTCCCTCCCGGAAGCCGTATTGCTCCTTGTTGAACGTTGGACTACTCCGGGATAGGTGTCGAACGAGGTGGGCGTGTATTATCCTTTCGAATAACTTGCCCGCCTCGTCCAGTAGGCATATTGGCCTAAACGCGGAAGGGCTTGTTTCCCTTTCTGAAAAGGACCAAATTGCCGCATTACGCGACTCTTCACCTCCGCCTCCTTCATTGCCAAGGCTTACGCTGTACCTGGGATGCCGTCAGGGCCCGGCACCCTTTTCTTGGTGCCGAGGTTCCTGAAGGCCCTGTCCATCTCCACCTCGGTGACCCCGACCAACTCTTCCTCCCCGTCTGGGGGGGGAGGGGCCCTCGTAGGGGGGAATACAAGTTTCCCACCATGGAAAGATGGCCCCCACCACTTCATCGAGGAAATCGGGGACCAGGGACGCCGTTGGAGGGGGCGCCCAGTTGCGCAAGCATCTCATCATTATGTGATAAGGGCGCCCCCATGGGTCCCTGTCGATGGTGGAGACCAGGTCGTTCCAGGCACGAACTTTGGCCGTAAAGATGGCCGCTTTAAGGGCGCCCCGCTTTTCGCGGTACGCCCCCTCGGCGGCCATCCTGCCCTCACTATCGTTTCTCCGCCGGTCCATTTCTCGCCTAGATCAGCCGGCGGAGCGTCGAAGTTCGGCGATCTTCGCCGACCACTAGTACACGGACCGGCGGGGATGCGGCCGGGATCGGGGCATGGCGGCATCACATGCCACCGTCATAATGCCCACGATTCCGGCCGCCTCAGTCTCAATGGCGGCCCGGGTCCCTGGTGTGGGGCCTGGGTCCGCCCATGTGGCCGCCGTTATGGCGGCCGCCAACCTGTCGCGGTTGAGCTTACGGAGGGTCCATTTTGGTGGTCGGGCACCCCCCTGGTCGCGCCTCAGGAGTACCTCCTCGGGGGTAGCGACCAGTTGGACTACGATATATCTGTGGTCCGAAAGGTTTTCACCCCTGGTCACCACTCGCCATTCCTGGATTAGTCGGGCCGCCTGGGGAGACGATAGCGTGATGTTGATCACTGTTCTCCCCCGCGGCCCGACGAAGGTGCTCCTCCGGCCTCTGTTGATTACACAGAGGCCGTGAGACGCGACCCATTCTTCCATTACCTCGCCCCTTCGACATCTGGCCGAGGACCCCCACAACGCCGATTTGGCATTGAAGTCCCCGACCACCAGGACCGGCTTTTGGGGGCGTCTCGACATGAGGTTCCCCAGCCGGTCCAGAAGGTGCTCGAAATGGGCGAGGTCCTACGAGGGTGGGGCGTAAATCCCAACCACATCTAGGGCCCTCCACTCGACCGCGACGTAGCCTCCCATTTCTCCACATGGGAGATTGGGGGGGAGGCTTCCTCTTCCTGATGGTAGATCGCCACCGAGCATTTACCACCCCGCCCCGCAACGTCAACCATTATGGCTGAGTGACTCTCGGGGCCGCAGTGAGGCTCGGAGGCGATCCCCAATCCAGAACCGCGCTCGCGGAGGGACTACATGAACAGTTCCTGGGCTCCGCGAGCGCGGTTGAGATTCTCTTGGAGAAAGCGGGTAGCCTTATGGCTTATGTCCGCACACCTCCAGTCTCTTCTCTATTTTCTTCACGGGAGAGGGACCCTCAACTGGGTTATCCCTCTCCCGCGATGCAATCCTCTTACCGGGCCCGGTCCCCGGCGGTACCTTTTGCTCCTTCGGAGAGACCGGGGTCTCAGCTTCTGGAGCTCTCCCCTCTGGTAGCGGAGGAGGCTCTTTTTCCTTCCCTGGGGATGGGGAGGTATTGGAGGCTTTGCGCCTCCTTCTCCCACCCTTTCCCGCTTTGCTCCGCCTAGCCATTTAGCAGGCGGGGCCTCCCACTCTATGGCCACAGAACCGCCCGGCGTCGCGGCACACCGGGCATGTCGCCGGTACGTCGCACGCCGCGGCCCTGTGGCCAGTCGATCCGCAGTGGTAACATAGATTACTGCGGTCGGCCTTACTCTTGCAGGAGGCCCTGACGTGGCCTTACTCCAGGCACTTGAAGCTCTGGAGGGCGCGACTTCACAGGACCTCCACGCTGGCGAAGGATTACCCGACGCGTATGCGTCCTCCGCCGGTAATCCTCTTCGCGACCACAAGGGGACACCGTAACCAGAGCGTCCCCATGCGGTCGGGTCCAGGGCGGATCTCCCCGGCCTTAATTTTCCCGGGCCCGCAGCTCTCGGCGACCGCCACCGCGGAAATTATATCCTCCACGGTGGCCGCATCGTCCAGGTCAAGGACACAAATGTCGGCCCTTTTCATGGGGCGCGCTATCCGCACGTCCCTTTTGTGGGTGAAGAGGGCCAACATTCTTTTGTTTAGGGCGTCCGCCCTGGCGTGTCCTTCGGGACCAGTGATCTCGAGGACCAGCGTGTCAGTAACAGCTCTTCTAGTCCTGAGATCCCCGATCCCTAGTTCTCCCAAGTCTATTTGGTTCCTCGCTCGCCGCATCATGTCGGCGTAGCTGCCGGCGGGGCAGCTCACCGTGACCGCGGCGGCACAAGGAACCTTGGGGAGGGCGGGTTTATTCCCGCCCCCCGCACCTTGGGAGTTCTTCCTATCTTTGCCGGCCCCTTGGTCGCAGCGCCCTGTCTGGGTCGCGGCTTTTAAGGGGCGAGTTGGGAGGTCTGTTTGGACCTCCTTCATCCCTGCTTCTCCCTCCTCCCTACCACCCGGGCCCATGATTCGGACCCGGTCGTGGGAGGAGGGAAGTGATTGTGGGCTTCCGAGGACTGCGGTGTCGCAGTCTTGTTCCCAGGGGGGTGGGGCCACTTCCTTCGCAGGAGCAGCAGGAAGCGACCGTCTTCTTATGAGACTGTTGGCCGCCCCCGCTGCTCTTCTTTTTCTTTCCCTTCTTTTTCCCCGATTTCATTCCCCCCATCATCGGGGGTGGAGGTCGCCGGGGATCGTGGCGGGTGCTGGGGGGGCCGAAGAGACGCCGCATGTTCCACCCTCCGCAGCCGCCCCATTCCTCCTTTTTTGGGAGATTTTTGAGGCCTCGCGGGCCGCCCCCCGGATAGTTCGGGGAGCTCAGCCCGCAGGGCCTCAACAATACGGGGAACTAGGACCGTCACCAATGCCTCTAGTTCCCCGCTGGTCGCTCCTGACGTTGCGAGGGCTCGTCCCTTGTCCGGACAAGTCCTCCGGCCGTCACCCGGCCTCATCTGCAAGGGCGTCCCCCAGTTAGCCGTCGTCACCGCCGCGGCCTTATTTTTCCGGCCCTTAGAGGGCTGGTTGGCTCCTTCGCCGAGACCGGCGCGCGCCTGTAGGGGAGAAGCGATTCCCGGGGGTAGTGTCCTCTCCGCGATGTCGCGCGCCATCTCCTGCCGGCACCGTCTCCCGATCTTCGCCTCCTCGGGAGTCGGGAGGATGGGCTCAACGCCCCCCCCCCCGTCATCCTCTCCTCGTCGCTAGAAGAGGAGGGGAGGCGCCGGGATGCCCTCTTCTTTTTGGTACCAACGGGAGAGGGCGGGGAGTCCTCTTCCACATATCTTGCCCTCTTCCTTTTTCGGTCTGCGGAGGAGTCCCTACTGTGGAGACTCCCCCGCAGCCACGTTCTGGAGTTATCGCTCTCAGCCCCGTCCACCTCCATGGCGGACGGGGCCACGTCTTGCGTCTCGTTGGAGGGGCCGGGTCTACGGGCCCTCTCCAGCTCTCTCGTGAGGCGGTCGACCTTTATGAGGAGTAGCGCGCCCTCTGCCCTAAGGCGCTCGCGCTCCACCGCATTTGCTGCCACCTCCCGCCTCGCAGCCTCGTGCCAGATTCGTCGGCATTGCTGGCCCTTTGTACTAGGGCGAGGCTGCACGCGGCCATTCTAGCCGCCGCGCTCCAGAGGGCCCTCCTGTAGGCTCCATTCAGGTTTCGAGATCTCTCCGCGACCTTTTTGATCTCGTCCACGGCTCTTAGCGCCATGGACGAGACCTCGGCCGTCTGTTGCAACCGAAGGCCGCGGAGGATCCCGATTTGCTCCCTCTCCACTTGGAAGGCCCTCTGGGACGAAGGCCTGACGGAGGAATCCGCTATCTCTGCCGCCAGCGCCTCATCCTCCTTTTTCTCCCCCAGTCTGTCGCTCCGGACGACCAGCGCGCTGACCATATTTCTGGAGTCAGCACTCGGCCGCCCGCCCGCGATTCTGTCCAAACCCTGCGCGCCGGAGACGAGGACGGCGACCTGGTTCGGCCGCCCCCAATATCCCCGCCGCCCCGGCCCTCCGCCGATGTGGAGGCTAAGACCTCGCCGGGCTCTCCGCCTACAGGGGAGGCAGCCGCACGCCCGCGAGAGGCGGACTTCGTTCGCCGTCCCACCACGTCGAGAGGCCGCGCGAAGGAGGAGGCCTCGACGGGCACCCCAACCCCCCCCCCGACCCCGCTTGCCGACACAATGTCGGCTTCTGCCTGAGGGCGGCTGGTAGTCGGCACGCCCTCCTCCCTGTCCTCTCGCGAATCTGCGGCTGCAGATTCACATGGGGCCACAGCCGAACCTGTGAGTCCCAAGGCCACCGGTGACCTGGTGGTCTCTCCCTTCTCTACTACATCGATGGATGTAATGTCCATGAGTAGTTTATCCCACCAGCCTTGACGGCTCGGATCTCCGGCGTATCTCCCATCCTCCGCCCCCAAATTGAGGAGGAAGGATGCCTGACGTATTCGCTGGAAGAGGTCCTATGCCACTGGTCACCAGGATTTCCGCACAGGGACACTGGACTCCTGCCCGCTACTCACGCCCCAGTCCACAAGAGACTGAACCGCTTTCAGGGGTCCCGCACCTCCGACCGTGCGGGCACCGTCAGGGCCGCCGCTACGCGGGGGGCCCCACGAACGGACAACGGCGAAAGGGTGTTGCGACCCACCCATGCCGCGTACCGCCGTGGGCACCAGCTGATGCTCCGTCCGGGGGCACGACTTTACCATGTCGCAATTGCCGCCCCCCGGGCTCTCCGCTGTAAGGGCCCACCCGACCGACCGCCCGATGGGCAAATCGGCCGTGCCGATCCCTAATACTCTCTCGGCGCAACGGCCACCCGAGAGAGAGAGGACTGGTTGCCATACTGGCATTTGGGACCCGGCTGCCCCCGCTGTAGGGATCAGCTCACCGGCACCGGCCATCCTTAATGCACGGACCGGGCTCGCTCACCTCTCCCCTAGTATTCCCTTGCGCAGCTGCCCGCACGAGAGAAAATCGCCGGCATGAGATGCCGGCGCCAGTCCCAGGGTGTCCGACCTAAACCTCAAAATACGTTCGAGCGGCCCGGACACCCCTCCACCCCCCGCGCACCGTGAGGCGCGCCGCCGGTGTGCAAACACGGGTGTGGGTTCTTTCCCCCCCGTCCGATCGCCGGCCGTCGCCGTCGTCGGACGGTTCGAGGGCGTCCCGCTCTCTCGGCTGCCGGAGAACCGGCGTGCGATGCCTTGAGATACGGGATCATCTCCTCCCCCGGGACGAGCTAACGTCCCGGAGCGGAAGCCCCCCCAACCCCAAAATCTTCCCCGAAAGCTGGTGGTGGAGCAAGCTCCACCTAACGGCCCCAGCCGGACGGGCGATTGGAATCAGGGCCGCCAACACCTACCGGCAATTGGGCTCATTGACCCTGTGGGAGTTGCCGGGCTCCCTTGCAGTGGAGGGTCTTATGTCCCTCTCTAGCAACCGCGGGGCTGCAGCCCACCGCGGTCCGGTTTTCTGAGGGGGTTTTCCTTCCCCGTTACCGCCGTTCGCCAGCGATCCTCAGGTAGGGGCCTCTCTTCCGGCCGAAGCCGAAAAGTACTGCCGCCGAGCCTTCATCGGATCGCCGGTACCCCTCCACCACGATAAGATGGCGGCATGGAGGGGACGCTCAACAGACCAGACTTTGCAGCAAAGCTTTCGCCTCACCGCTTTCTAGATACTTTTTTTTTTTTTTTTTTTTTTTTTTACCCAGGGGA